CCTGATAGTAGTATGACTGTGTTCTCTCGTACATTTAGGGACATCAGGATAATATTCCGCAGTGAAGCTGACATATTCTACTACACCTAGCATGGCATTAGTCTCTCTCTCTCTCTCTCTCTCTCTCTCTCTCTCTCTCTCTCTCTCTCTCTCTCTCTCTCTCTCTCTCTCTCCACACACACACACACACACACACACACACACACACACACACGCATGCACGCACACACAAACACACAGGCACACACTGTATACACACTCTCGCAATCGCACGCAGACCTCTCACACGCAGTGCTCACGCACCACATCACCATCATCATCATTATCATCATCATCGTCCGGGCTGCCCAGCTTACTTGTGGGAATTGAGAAGTAGGTGTGGTCCGGGTCTCCGCGATCGCCACCGGCCGTGAGGCCGAGCGCCACACGCACCGGGCCGGCCGTGTAGCGAGAACTGTAGTCACACTCTGCACCGTCCATGACAAAGTCGCCGGAGACGGACTTGTTCAGCGCGGCGTGCATGACAAGGTCGCCGGAGGCGGACTTGTTCAGCGCGGCGTGACCGCCACCGTGGCGGAACGTGGTGCCCTCGGTCCCGGACGTCGACGACAGCGGACTTTCCGGCACGGGGCGCGAGCGCATGTCCCGCAGGTGGCCAGCCTGGAAGCTAGTGGCTAGCGTGGTGATGGTGTGGGAGGAGACGGTGCGCGACTTGGACTTGTCCTCGTCGTCCTCTCTCTCCTTCTTGTGCTGTTGTCGTTGCCGCCGGCGGTGGTGCATGACGCAGATGAGGACGATGAAGAGGACGAAGAGCAGCACACCGCCCAGGGCTATGATCACAGCCAGGTAGATGGTGTTGGTGCTGGCGTCGCTGTTGCTGCCCGATGATCTGTGGTCCCCGTCCTCTGTGGACGGTGGCTCCGTGGTGGGTTCCTTGGAGGATTCTACGGAGGGTTCTGCTGCTGATTCCGTGGACGGTTCCGTTGACGGTTCCGTTGACGGTCCCGTGGATAGTTCTGTAAAGGAGGATGGTGGGAAAAAAGACGAAGAGCGAAAGTTCGCACAATGTACACATGCACACACGCATGCACGCATGTGCATGCAAGCAAGTACACGCATATATACAAACACAGATACGTGCGCACATGTACACACACACACACACACACACACACACACACACACACACACACACACACACACACACGCACGCACACTCGTCAAAATGTGTACAATTCGCCATGGTCACTTTGTACCGTGTGGTGTGGTGCCTGCGTATGTGCCTGCGTGCGTACAAGAGCGAGTGTGTGTGTATGCATGTGTGTGTGTGTGTGTGTCTGTGTATGTTTGTTTTGTGTGTGTTTGTGTGTGCATGTCTGTGCATGTTTCTTTGTTTGGTGTGTGTGTGTGTGTGTGTGTGTGTGTGTGTGTGTTTGTGTGTGTGTGTATGTGATAATACGCCCAGATATGTCCTTGCAGCACCATCCACTGGCGTGGAAGCCTAGCACTACAAGAGGAAGCAACGCATTCACAGCAGCCACTACGCACCAAAGTCCCATACGTGCAGTCGTGGCCAAAGAAATCCGACACGTGGAGGCGAAAACAGCGCCAAGGCTAATGCAACCCCTGTGACTGGCGTCAGACCGCATCGGATATGTAATCGAAATGGAACAGCGACCCTACGTTTGATTCGCGGGTCGGATTTCTTCGACCGCGACAGAAGATGGCCAAGGCTGTCGGTGGTTACAAGAAAGAAGTCTCTTTGCGCTAACTTGACTTACGTGTGTGTGTGGGTGACTGGGACGTGGCCAATGTCTGCTCTTCAGAAGTTACTGATGATGTTGCAGTGACTTTAATGCCACCGCCAACTGTTACTGCAAGATGATCGCCAGTTGATTTGCCTGCAAACCATATGTACATGTGTGTGCGTGTGCATGTATGTACACACAAACATGTACACACACACACACACACACACACACACACACACACACACACACACACACACACACACACACACACACACATGTATACACACACACATGTACATACACACGCATGGACACACACACACACACACACACACACACACACACACCAAGGACACAACAAGAAAGGCTAAAGTCTAAAAATCCAGCAAAATGTCAATGCTGTTACCAATATCGGATGTAACCTGTACAGATGAGAAGTAAAGAAGGCTGTAGCAATGACGTGGCTGGTGCAACAACGCCCCATCCAGCCACCAGGGTATGGCTATGCAGGGTATTTGTTGACTGCGGACCCCAGTGTACTCACATGCATCACTCGTACATTCCATGTTTGGCAGTGCGTACAACGGGCTGAATTAGCCGTGGTTGGCTATAAGAACCCTGCAATCGCCACTCAAAGTGGTCATTGGCTACCCCAGCCATGCATGGGGGGGGGGGGGGGGCATGGCTTGGAATAAAACTAACGTAAACTAAATGCGCTCAAGGCGTAAAAGCCCAGTGTCATGTAAGAAATAGCGGTAGCCCCACCCACTGTCCCACCACTACCAGCACCACGCTGTGTGACGTGATGAAAAACATGCCAGTGTTGCCACAGCAACATACCAGTGTTGTCACAGCAACATACCAGTGTTGCCACAGCAACATACCAATGTTGTCACAGCAACATGCCAGTGTTGTCACAGCAACATGCCAGTGTTGTCACAGCAACATGCCAGTGTTGTCACAGCAACATGCCAGTGTTGTCACAGCAACATGCCAGTGTTGTCACAGCAACATGCCAGTTAGAACACGAAGCCATAATGGCTTCTGTGCTGCTTCGTGTGCTGACTTGCTTTCCCTCCAACCAAGAGCATATTCAACATACAAATTACATGTAAAATGTCATCGCTTTCATAACATTAGGCAGAACTGCCCGTCTGACATGCGATGTAAAATAAATAAAACAACACCAACAATCTATTCAACATACCAGTGGTGTCACAGACGACTGCGGCCACGGTATTGCACAGCACGCCGGCCTCCCACATGCCAGCGGCCGCGTGAGCGCACATGGACAGACGCGTTTCTGTGCCGTCGCACTCCAAGCCGCGCACGAGGCCGTACTGCGGGAACAAGGGCGTCGGCGACGGCAGATCGGACAGGTTGAATGCCGACGCGGTGGCGGTCGTCAGGGGCAACCCGCCGACGTAGCCGAGCTCTCGGCACACCACAGTGGCCTGTGTGGCACCCCAGCCGTGGCCGCAGACCGGCTGGAACGTGTTGTCACGCTGAAGCTGAACAATGCCGTAGTGGCGATGGCTATCACCGCTCGCAGTCACAATACGTGCCTGCAGTGGCGTGTCTGCAATGGGACAAAGACAACACACACACAATACACTGTAAGGGGACATCCGTAATTGTCGACCTTTTCCACAAAGAGAAAAAGTTTCGTTCATGGGTAGGTGGGTTGAGGAGAGTTTTCGTTATGAAAAATATTGATAGCTGAAGCGTCAGTCCAATCTAGCTGTCAAGTCAATATATTATTTTTCGTTTATGGGGGTGGGTGGGGTAGGGCCATAACTAAAAAATTTCGTTTCGTGAAAATTACCGATAATTCCGGATGGCCCCTAAACTGCCTATTGTTTACGGTGTATTCATGTTTGCCAATTTTGCGAGTCGAGCGTAACGCGAATATTAACCATCGCTAAATCAAACGTCAAGAGTGGGTGCATGTACGTGTGGCCACAGTGCTCCACTAACATTTGCCATCGTAAACTCGCTGGTTCTGAGAGAGAACGAAGTTGAAGACACCTGCAGGTTCTGAGAGATCGCAAAAATTTAGTGACGCAAATACTGGGCAGTTTACAGTAACTCACCATAAAGACGACACGGCATACGTCTTTTAGTTCTGTGGAGGAGCGCTCGGGTTGTTGCAATGAAGCCGAGACCCTATGGTCGACAAAGCTGCCCCTGCCCCTCCCCCACTCCTGCCATTCCGTATGTCTCATCGTTGCTTCTTTGCTGCTTTGTGTTGTCAACTGCTGAGTGGTTATTTTTAAAACAATTGTGTAAGCGTGATAACCAACACTGTCCTTTAACAAAATTGTAACATGGAAATTGTGGGCACAAGTTATGCGATCGAGTCCACCAACTAAACCAGATTTTCAACAGTCAGACGTGCACAATCTAGCACGAAACTGACAAGGAGTGCTGAGACATTCCATGACATGTCCATGTTACAATTTTTTGTCCTTGGCTCACCATCTGAGTTCTTTTAAATTTCCTGTAACAAGACGCCATACTATAAGTGAAGAAATATTCGGCGCATATTTACTTTCGGCTATTTTCGGCCTGGTCGTGTTTGGCCGAAAATTTGTTGCGGCCGAAATTTAGCTTTACGAGGTTCAGTGTGACAGTGTGTGCACGCGGCAGCAGTACAGGCCGAAAATTTGATGCAGCCGCCGAAATGGGTTATAGCCCTGGGAGGGCGAAAATCGAATGGGCCGAAAATTTGTAGACTTTAACACAGTAGTCAGCTGGGATATCCTTATTCAAAGAATGAATACTGCAGTGCTGGCAACTGAAATCCGACCCCCGAGCATTCTACCCACATTCTAGCAGTCTCTATTTCGTAGTTTTACTATCCCATGTTGGGTCTTTGCGATGTGAGCGCACCGCTCAGGGGTAGGCACCGGCGTATTATCCCGGCAGAAAAATTGGCAGAATTCGGTACTTTTTCTGGTAAGTTTCATGCATGTTTGGTATGTTGATAAAGAAATGGAGCAGAATTCGAGGAAATGCCCGCCATAAGGTTTGTATGGTTCTGCCAATTTCACTGCTTTTCGAGCAGAATCTGCCACCTTTTCGAGCAGAATCCGCCGGTGCCTACTCAGGGGGTCGGATTTCAGTTGCCAGCACCGTACTCCTACCACTTACTGTAACATGTGAGTCTGGCCTGTTTCAGGCTGGCAGGGCTGCTGATGACGTGCGTGCTAGGGCTGCGACACGCTCCTCCGCTCTCGCAGACCCACTCCACCCCCTGCCAGCTGGAGTAGGGCACACCGTGCAGTGTGACGTTCGGACCGAGGCCGTTGATGTCGGGGAAACCGACCGAGAAGACGTTTGTCGGCGGCCCCAGGTTCTGAGTCTTGCACGCGTACTGAAAACCAGAGAAACACACGACAGAGACATCAGCGACAACGACAGCATCAGTAACAACAACAACAACAACAACAACAACAACAACAACAACAACAACAACAACAACAACAACAACGACAGCATCAGTAACAACAGGAACAACAACAACAACAACGACAGCATCAGTAACAACAGGAACAACAACAACAACAACGACAGCATCAGTAACAACAGCAGCAGCAGCAGTGGCAGAGGCAGCAGTACAGAATCAGCTGAGAGGAAGGCATTTGTCTATATTGAATTATTGATACTGCGTTGCTCTTTAAAAGTTTGTCCGTGCAGCAGGCTACCATGTATCTTCCTCCTGCGATGCATGGCTCTTCTTGCCGAATGTGCTACGAGTAGCTGCACAGTTCTGTCCAGGGTACAAAACTCCCAAGAGCGTGCAAATACCTGAACGCCCTCTGTCCAGAGCTGCGACGGGTGGGAGCTGGATATCAGCTGACGTGTGAAACTGCAAGCCAAAATTGGAGTTTTCAAAGTCCAATATCCAATATACCCCCCCCCCCCCCCCCCCCGACAATGGACCGATTGCCATTTGTACAGATCCACGAAATCCCGTAGAATCCCGTAGACCCGGTAGGGTGTTCATTGTGTGCTATGCATGCGCATTTGACCTTTTTAGCGTCATAATTCAATGACCAGCAATCGCTTTTCCAGTTTCTTCACTTTGGTTAGAACTAATGACTAGCTAGATCTTTGTCAGAAAAAGGTTTTCGGATGAAAAGCCTTCAGGCCCCATTTCTTAGCGGAAATAGCAGAAAACACATTAGGGTCCTGCACATTCAACACCCTACCGTGTCTACGGGATTCTACGGGATTTCGTGGATCTGTACAAATGGCAATCGGTCTATTGATTTTTTATCCGGATGGACCATAAGAAGCTTACCAGGGCCATGTTGAAGTCCCATGATGTAGCAATAATCGGGTACACGGTACCCCCCCCCCCCCCGACAATTGATTTTTCATCCGGATGGACCATAAAAAAAACTTACCAGTGCCTTGTTGAAGTCCCACGCGGTAGCAACAATCGGGTACATAGTCCCCTGTACATCCTTCCACAGACCTCCTTCGGTGATGGCCGGCTTCAAGGAGAATTCGGGAAGCGCAGCGGCACCAGTGGACGACTCCGATGTCACCGCGGCAACGGTGGATGCGGCACCAGTGGACGGAGAGGTACCAGCTGTACGCGTGACGGTACCCACGGCAACAACGACAACACAAACGCAAGAACAAAGGCAAAAGGATCCAGTTAAACACGTGTTTTAAACCCTTATCTGTCCGTGCAGTCAAAATAACTAAAAACATGTTATTATAACGAGTCGCAAATTTAACGATTGTCCAAAATTCATAGGTTAACGAGAAGATATATTAACGATCTTGCAGTATTCTGCCATATCCACACACAGCATATATGAAGCAGTACGGCCTCAACGGATCTTATTATAACGAAGAAATTTCATCCGTTAAAACGTTAGATTTACTTCCTCGTTATATATTCATGTCTTACAGTACTAACCGTCGAAGACTAACACGTCGTAACTAATTACTTGCTCACTTTTCATCCAATTCTCACCCTTTGGATCTCAGAAGAAGCAGAAAAGAGACATCTTTCCTGTGAAGAAAACTGGAGCACCGTATCGTGCTCCAAAGAGAAGTTACAAGTCTCCGAAGGAGGTCTACTTCCACACCATGTCCGAAACAACCTTTGGCAGTGAACGCTTTTGTGATGGTACATATATTTAAGGAAAGACCTTTTAAAAGTTTTCATGGCCTCTTGGTTTTGTTATTATTTCGGTTGTTGTTGTTTTTGTACAAGCACACGATTGTCAAAACACCTCCGCAGTAAAACAGGTCGGAGCAAGGTCGGGATGATCTTCCACCCGTCAATATAGTGCTGGAGAGGTTTATCTGGCTGCAGCAGTTTGTCCAACACCGAAAGACCTCCGCTAACGTCAAAGTCGAAGACGAGGATAATTCTGGTCACTCAGATGCCATTTCCGACGGAGGGGAAGAGAAGAGTGGAAAAGAAGATGAGATTCAAGTTGCTTTTGTACACCAACATTCGAACACGATTGTCAAAACACCTCAGCAGTAAAAGAGATAGTGCCAGGTCGGAGCAAGGTCGGGATGATCTTCCACCCCTCAATATAGTGCTGGAGAGATTTATCTGGCTGCAGCAGTTTGTCCAACACTGAAAGACCTCCGCTAACGTCAAAGTCGAAGACGAGGATAATTCTGGTCACACAGATGCCAAGTTGTAACTTGCTCACTTTTCATCCAATTCTCACCCTTTTGATCTCAGAAGAAGCAGAAAAGAGACATCAAAAACCAACCAACCAAACAAATACTAACACACATAATCCAATAGGGAACTGCTTCTCTGTACCGAAAATTTCTGTTTCACCTAACCTGGCCTTTTGCCATCATACCTAAAATTCTCAGCACCTCAGTAAATTTCTGAAGGAATGAAGAGCTTTTGATAACTTGCTCTCTATTACTGGTATGAAGAATAAAGATAGGCTCCCAAGAGTGCACAACTCTGGCTGGGGCGTAGCAGCCAGTCCGGCCGGACCACTTTTTTCAACACAATGCCAAAAGTGCCCAGAATGCAGGATTTTGTACCCTAATTGAAAACATTTCCCAGGGGAGATCCCCGCACCCCATTGCCACCAGACCAGCTCCCATGACAGTGCTATGCGCCTGTCTGGATACCCTTAACTAAATTGTTTCTACGGATTTTTTCTCACCTCCCTTCCTTTTCTTCTTTTGATAATGCTATTTTCCGTGGTTGGATTCACCCTCCCTTTCTTGTATTGGCTATGTATTATTATGTGCCATGAAGTGGAGACGATAAATAATTGAAATAAAATAAAATAAATTTTATGCCGACGGGAAAAACTCACATCGCGTGGTGCAGTGTTGCTGTTGTACGCTCCCAGCTCGTTTCCTGTTTTCAGCGACCAGCGGAGCATTAGCACTGCATACCACTCCCTGACAGAAACCTACGCAGCCTTGTGCGACACTCCCTGACAGAAACCTGCTCAGCCTTGTGCGACACTCCCTGACAGAAACCTGCTCAGCCGTGTGCGACACTCCCTGACAGAAACCTACTCAGCCTTGTGCGACACTCCCTGACAGAAACCTGCTCAGCCTTGTGCGACACTCCCTGACAGAAACCTACTCAGCCTTATGCGACACTCCCTGACAGAAACCTACTCAGCCCTGTGCGACACTCCCCGACAGAAACCTACTCAGCCTTGTGCGAGTCATCAGCACGACCATGGCAGATATTCTGACTGCGAGCACACTAGCTTTGGTTGTATGTGGTACCAATCGTACTTGGAACACGTGATGTGAGTTTTCGCCTCAAACTAATGAATATCAACGTCATAGTATTATTACTATACCGGCACCTGAAGTATTTATTGGTTTGATTGAAAGATGCAAACGGGAAAAGTCTGAAGAAGAAAAATGACTGCCACCACCAGGACTCGCACCAGGGACCTTTGCTTGAGGCCAGCGATGCTCTAACCGCAGAGGTATGGTGTGGCTGCCATCCCAGCAGAGACCGTTCAACATTTTCTTCAGACTTGAAAGTATATACAATCATGTAGGTTCATAGGTCCTACCACAATCTTGAACCTTCCAAGCTGGAAGGCTGCTGCTGGTTTGCGCACTTGAGATGTGTTAGGGCTAGGTGTCAGGTTGTTTTAGAACATACTACAGTCCATTTCAAAACTATAGACGCGTACCTAGGCAAAAACCGTTATGCCAGCATCTATACCACATAAAATCTGTGATCACTTTGTGCATAATTATTTTCCAAATTGGGCGTCTGTTATCCAATCGTTTAGAAACTATATGAGAGTAATTGTGGAGCGGACCTGAGCAATATTCCGAAAACTATTCTCAAAAAGTTCCAGCCAAATTTGAAATATTTCAAAAACCCTACGCGTCTATAGTTTTGAAATGGACTGTAGTGGACAGTTACTCGCAACGCGCAACCCATGCGACCTTTCTCAGTTTTACTTCAAAGTTTTTATTTTATTTATTTTATTTTTTATAGTATTAATTTATGACCATACCTGACATGGAGCAGATGACGGCAGCCAGCGTGCCACAGCGCACAAGCTCCCAGCCGCGAGCGTTGGCATGGCTACACATGCTCAGACTGGCCTCGCTGCCGTCGCACTCAAACGCCGCCGCCGGGCCGTGCTCCCGGAAGTTTGCCGTCGTCGACAGCCTCTCCGTGATGTTGTACGTCGCTCCCGTGGCGAGCGAGTCGCTGTACACTTCGCCATAATCGTAGCCGAGCCCTCGGCACGTGACCGCGGCCTCGAGCGGGCCGAAGCCCTCGCCGCACACGACGCGGAACTTGTCTCTCTGGTAGAGCTGCACCAGACCGTAGCTGGTGTTGGCTGCGCCGTTGTTGGAAACGATGCGAACAGGCAACGGCTTGGCTGCAGCGGACAACAGCAAAATAAATACAACAATTTTTTACATGCCGACTACATTATACACGGTTATACAAGCAAACACTGTAGATGTGTATGTCGTGTATCAACCCTTTTCCAGCCAGGCGCGCATATATGCGCTCTATATATTATAATGTGCTTGGCCATGAGCGCATCTACAGTCAACTTCGCTAATAACGACTGCGGATATAACGACAATTCGCGAATAACGACAGAATTTCCATGCCCAGAGCAAAGTCCCATCCCACTGCAATACATAAAATGAGACTTCGGATAACGACACTTTGCGAATAACGACACCTTGTTGATGCCCCGCCGAGTGTCGTTATAAGCGAAGTTGACTGTATGCATAAAAGAAATTCGTGCATTATATCGCAGTGCATAGACCAGTGTACAAACGACCGTAACTCAGTGAAACATTAACACATCGCGACAATCAATACACCGTTGGAAAGGTCTTGAGCTCATCTTTCCGGTGATATAAAGTTCTTCGCGATACCATAAATATTCACTGAGCGGCGACAGGATGAACACCGAAACCACGGCCCAGAGCGAACGCGAATTATTTCGTTCAGGACTTCGCAGTTTTTCGGAGCGTGCTTGGGTATTTCCCTTCGGCACAACGCATGCGTGAGACATCAAATGAAGCACTTAGATGCACTTAGATCTCAGCTTTGCAGCACAGTTTGAATCGTGAAAATCGGTTGAATTTGGGCAAGATGCCGAACAAGAATGTGAAATTGAGTTGTTGTGCCGTTCCGAGGCACGGTGGAGTAGTTTGGAGAGGAGGTGGAAGTGGCCCTGGTGTGTCTATGTCGCTGACATCCACCATGATGGATTCGCTTGGTCCTGATCTTTCCAACGAGCCGAGGAAGATGAAAACCCATCAAGGTGGAGTGAAGTGAGAATAAAATTTTGTTTTAAAACCGGGCCTTTTTTCCTGTAGGAACCGGCATTAGGGCTAGGCTTTTGTTCAACCCAGGTATTTATTATATGCGTCAACACTAAAACCAGGGGGGGGGGGGTATCAACAGTCCATTTTGAAAACCAGGCTTGCATTCAAAACAGGCCTGTACGAGACACGCTTCCCCACAAGACAGTGCGCTAGACGTACCGTGTTCCCAACTTGGCCTGAGCAATCCGCCCATGTGCCACACGTAGGTGAATAATTTCGTCCAAAGCCAAAGATAGGCAGTTTGTCGGGTGGAAATTCTCACCCACGGATGTTGAAACCTACTGAAAGGCTAGGCATTGAATAAATTTTAAAACTGCCTTGGACGACACGTTCAGTATCACCTCCGCCACTACACTGCGCTCTCAGCCGACTATACCATCCTGCACACAACCACCACTACACTGCGCTCTCAGCCGACTATACCATCCTGCACACAACCACCACTACACTGCGCTCTCAGCCGACTATACCATCCTGCACACAACCACCACTACACTGCGCTCTCAGCCGACTATACCATCCTGCACACAACCACCACTACACTGCCCTCTCAGCCGACTATACCATCCTGCACACAACCACCACTACACTGCGCTCTCAGCCGACTATACCATCCTGCACACAACCACCACTACACTGCGCTCTCAGCCGACTATACCATCCTGCACACAACCACCACTACACTGCGCTCTCAGCCGACTATACCATCCTGCACACAACCACCACTACACTGCGCTCTCAGCCGACTATACCATCCTGCACACAACCACCACTACACTGCGCTCTCAGCCGACTATACCATCCTGCACACAACCACCACTACACTGCGCTCTCAGCCGACTATACCATCCTGCACACAACCACCACTACACTGCGCTCTCAGCCGACTATACCATCCTGCACACAACCACCACTACACTGCGCTCTCAGCCGACTATACCATCCTGCACACAACCACCACTACACTGCGCTCTCAGCCGACTATACCATCCTGCACACAACCACCACTACACTGCGCTCTCAGCCGACTATACCATCCTGCACACAACCACCACTACACTGCGCTCTCAGCCGACTATACCATCCTGCACACAACCACCACTACACTGCGCTCTCAGCCGACTATACCATCCTGCACACAACCACCACTACACTGCGCTCTCAGCCGACTATACCATCCTGCACACAACCACCACTACACTGCGCTCTCAGCCAACTATACCATCCTGCACACAACCACCACTACACTACGCTCTCAGCCAACTATACCATCCTGCACACAACCACCACTACACTACGCTCTCAGCCAACTATACCATCCTGCACACAACCACCACTACACTCCGCTCTCAGCCGACTATACCATCCTACACACAACCACCACTACACTGCGCTCTCAGCCGACTATACCATCCTGCACACAACCACCACTACACTGCGCTCTCAGCCGACTATACCATCCTGCACACAACCACCACTACACTGCGCTCTCAGCCGACTATACCATCCTGCACACAACCACCACTACACTGCGCTCTCAGCCGACTATACCATCCTGCACACAACCACCACTACACTGCGCTCTCAGCCGACTATACCATCCTGCACACAACCACCACTACACTGCGCTCTCAGCCGACTATACCATCCTGCACACAACCACCACTACACTGCGCTCTCAGCCGACTATACCATCCTGCACACAACCACCACTACACTGCGCTCTCAGCCGACTATACCATCCTGCACACAACCACCACTACACTGCGCTCTCAGCCGACTATACCATCCTGCACACAACCACCACTACACTGCGCTCTCAGCCGACTATACCATCCTGCACACAACCACCACTACACTGCGCTCTCAGCCGACTATACCATCCTACACACCTCCACCACTACACTGCGCTCTCAGCCGACTATACCATCCTGCACACAACCACCACTACACTGCGCTCTCAGCCGACTATACCATCCTGCACACAACCACCACTACACTGCGCTCTCAGCCGACTATACCATCCTGCACACAACCACCACTACACTGCGCTCTCAGCCGACTATACCATCCTGCACACAACCACCACTACACTCCGCTCTCAGCCGACTATACCATCCTACACACAACCACCACTACACTGCGCTCTCAGCCGACTATACCATCCTACACACAACCACCACTACACTGCGCTCTCAGCCGACTATACCATCCTGCACACAACCACCACTACACTGCGCTCTCAGCCGACTATACCATCCTGCACACAACCACCACTACACTCCGCTCTCAGCCGACTATACCATCCTACACACAACCACCACTACACTGCGCTCTCAGCCGACTATACCATCCTGCACACAACCACCACTACACTGCGCTCTCAGCCGACTATACCATCCTGCACACAACCACCACTACACTGCGCTCTCAGCCGACTATACCATCCTGCACACAACCACCACTACACTGCGCTCTCAGCCGACTATACCATCCTGCACACAACCACCACTACACTGCGCTCTCAGCCGACTATACCATCCTGCACACAACCACCACTACACTGCGCTCTCAGCCGACTATACCATCCTGCACACAACCACCACTACACTGCGCTCTCAGCCAACTATACCATCCTGCACACAACCACCACTACACTACGCTCTCAGCCGACTATACCATCCTGCACACAACCACCACTTGCTGTGTACGTGATGTGATAAGGCGCGCATGCGCGCCTGGGCTCGTGGCTGGTTTTGCATGCTTGCTGTGCTGGACTAGGTCCGAGAATGTGAGCTCTCTTTTCCTTGTCTTTCTGTTCCTTGATTATTACAATAACTGTACGAACCTGAGTAATGCTGTGTGTGGGCCCTTAGGGCCAGACATAACAATTGGCGACGAAGATGGCAGGACGCAACTCCAGATTAGAAATTTTCGAAACTGGGGATTTTGACGAGTATGCAGAGAGACTCAATTTTCATTTTCTGGCTAATGACATTGGCCAAGTTGCAGACGATGCAACCGAGACAGTACAGACAGCGGCAGACAAGAAAAAGTGCGCCGTGCTGATTAGTCAACTATCCGGTCAGGTTTATTCCACACTGAAGAATTTGTGCCTCCCAGATAAACCAGGGCAGAAGAAGTTCGAAGAGTTGCTGAAGCTCCTCTGTGATTATTTCAAGCCCAAGATTAGTGTAGTTGCTGCTACCTATCAATTTCAGAAAACCCTGCAGAAGGAGGGCGAGTCTGCGATCATGTTCGCGGCTCGATTGAAACGGGCAGCCATGGACTGCAAGTTTGAAGCTTATCTCGACAGGGCCTTGCGTGACCAGTTCATCACTGCGATCGGTTCTACCAGCACGACGAAGGAAATCCTGGCGAAGGCTGAGGAGACGACAACATTTCAGCAGGTTGTCGACATGGCCACGGCTCATGAGACAGCTTTCCGCGAGTCTGAGAAGTTTTCAACGCAGGTTCATGCAGTACGCGGAGAGCCGGGGCTCGCCGACAACGCCACGTTCAAATCTGACAAGCCCTGTTTCCGCTGTGACAAGCTGGGACATCGACCGGATGAGTGCCACTTCAAATCTGCGAAGTGTCGTGCTTGCGGCAAACTGGGACACATCGAACGAGCCTGCCTAAAGAAGAAAGCGGCCAGGTCCGTCAAGCATGTCGGGACAACATCAAACCCCGGTGAGCTTGTTCCTTGTAATGATTCTGTACCGATGTTGAATGTGAATGCCACCATGAGTGACAGAGCTGTAGCACCGTACACTACGCCTGTCGAGCTAAATGGGGTCCAGGTGCACTTGGAAATTGATACGGGTAGCACCGTCACACTGCTAGGAAAAAATGATTTTCTGAAATGCAATGGCTCCGTGTCTGAGCTGGTACCGTCCAGCATCACCCTATCTACATACACAGGAAATCCAATCAAATGTCTGGGTGAAATCGAAATGAAAATGGCTTTGGGTGGTGTAGAGGAGAATGTTCTGGTCAGAGTTACTGAATGTGATGGTCCGTCTCTCTTAGGCCGGGATGTCTTGTCCAGATTTACTTTGCCATGGAAATCTATATTCAAAGTGGGCACTGGCGGGCAATCCACTACCGATTTCGTTAAGAAATACCCGAATCTGTTTGACAACTCCACTGTGGGTACGGTGCAAGGGGTGCAAGTAAAGCTGCACGTGTCAGATGAACAACCGGTCTACAAACGAGCAAGACCAGTACCTCTAGCAATTCGACAGCGGTACATCGACGCGTTGAACAAACTCGAGGCTGATGGGGTGATTGAGAAAGTGACGCATTCCGAATGGGCCTCACCAACGGTACAAGTAGAAAAACCAGGAGGAGGATTACGGATTTGCGCAGATTACAGTGGGACTATTAACAAGCATTCAGAATGTGAACAGTACCCACTCCCCACCCTCGAGGAATTGTTGCACAAGTTGGGCCCGGGAGGGAAGTTTACCAAACTCGACTTGTCCCAAGCATACCACCAGCTAGAGGTAGCACCGGAAAGCAGGAAATACACCACCATCAACACAATTCAGGGCCTGTACCAGTACAAACGCTTACCGTTTGGTTTCCACAGTGCCGTATCCATTTTCCAAAGGGTAATGGAAGAAACCTTGGTTGCGCTACCAGGCAGCGGCGGGTACATTGATGATGTGCTGTGTACCGGGGAAAATGATGAAATCCATGAGGAAAACGTGGACCGGGTACTCCATCGACTGGATGAGAAAGGTTTCAAATTGAATCCGGAGAAATTCTGTTACATGGCTGAGGCACTCTCTTACTTAGGTCACACGATCAGTGGGCAGGGCGTCTCCCCTTCAACAGCCAGGATACAGGCACTGAAAATGGCCAAACCACCACAGAATGTTGCCGAATTGCAATCTTTCATCGGTTCTGCAAATTTCGTGCGGAAGTTTGTGCCTCATTTCGCAGAAATTGCAGCTCCTTTGTACGACCTCTTGAAAAAGGGTGGGAAATGGCACTGGGAGACCACTCACGAGCAAGCTTTTGGCAAATTGAAAGATGCTATGTGTTCAGAAGCCCTACTGGCACACTATGATTTACAAAGGCCAACAGTGTTGCAAGTGGATGCTTCGGGAGTGGGCCTTGGCGCAGTCCTACTGCAGAAGCAGGAGAATGGCGAATTACGACCGATCGCATTCATGTCGCGTAAGCTGACCCCAGCAGAGTCACGCTATGCTCAAATTGAAAGAGAAGCATTGGCTGTGGTGTTCGGAGTGACCAAATTTCGCCAGTACCTACTCGGTAGAGAGTTCATAGTGGTCACTGATCATCGGCCACTCTTGAAGTTACTGGGAAATCACGAGGATGTCCCCACTCTCGCCTCTAATCGAATCAAGAAATGGGCATTGCAACTGGCGGCATATGATTACGAAATGCAGTATCTCGCGGGGAAAGAAAACGTCCATGCGGATTTTCTCTCGCGACAACCAATGCAATCTGTGTCACCGAGCGAGGAGGAGACCGTCACGGTACAGGTCTTGCTTATCGAGAACGACTCAATAATCAAAGCAGCTGTGGTGAGAGCAGAATCGGCAAAGGATTCTGTATTGGCTAAAGTAATTCGCTATACGGTTAATGGGTGGCCTGCTGAAATTGAGGAAGACCTCAAGGCATATGCTAGCAAGAGAATGGAATTGTCTGTGGAGAATGATATCTTGTTATGGGACAACCGGGTGGTGATTCCTAACTCACTTCGAATGCTCTTGCTACGAGATCTGCATGCAGAGCATTTTGGCATGGTGAAAATGAAGCAAGTGGCCCGGCGCTACTTGTGGTGGCCCAATATTGACCAGGATATAGAATCTAAAGTCAATGCGTGTTTGCAATGCCAAGAGAATGCCAAATGCCCACCGGCAAAACCCGGTGTTTGGTCATGGCCGACGGGTCCATGGAAACGGATACACATTGATTTTGCCGGGCCATTTCTGGGAAAAATGTTCTTGGTGGTGGTAGATGCTTACTCTAAGTACTTGGATGTAATACCCATGGCTCATGCAACCAGTGCGACCACGATTTCTGCTTTACGCCATCTGTTTTCTGTGTTTGGTTTGCCTGAGCACTTGGTTACAGATAACGGCAGTCAGTTCACGAGTGCGGAATTCCAGGCGTTCCTGGATGGCAATGGCATTCTACACACAACAACGGCACCAGGTCATCCAGCAACTAATGGCCTCGCCGAACGCTACGTTGGCGTCTTCAAGCAGAAGATGAAAGAAATGTCGAATACTGGTGAACCACTCAACGTCAGGCTCGACCGGTTTCTCTTAGCGCATCGAACAACGCCGACCACCAGTGGGAAGACGCCGGCGGAGCTGTTAATGGGCCGGCAACCGAGAATCCGGCTCAGTGCATTGCGGCAGTCTGAGAGTCATCGGCAGGTCAAGGTGTACCAGGAGAGCTTGACTACGCCAAAGTTTAACACCGGTGACGCTGTGTTCGCCCTGAACTTTGGTCGTGGAGCAACTTGGGTACCAGCTACTGTAGTGCATGTCCACAGCCCTCACAGTTTCGGAGTACAGGTGGATGATGTCGTCTGGAAGCGCCATAGGGACCAACTACGACCGCGGGCGGTGCAGTTTGGCCAAGTACCCGTTTCGTCTTCTGCGGACCAGGCGGTCGCACAGCTGCCTACACCGACCAGTGACCCGCCGACAGTGCTAGATTCTCCTCTACCACTTCCGGACGCTAGCAGCAACAGTAGCACTGTCAGGCCGGATGATACGCTAGCACCAGCAGCAGACGCCGTTGGAGTCGAGACGGCTCCCAGTGTTGTTGCACCGGCACCCTTGCGTCGCTCCGACCGACATGTCTCCGCGCCCAAGCGCTTGATTGAGAACTGCTAAGTATCCGTACTATTGCCTTTGAGTATGTATTGCTTGTCCTGTTACTTTGATCTGATGCGGCCTGAGTGTAGGAAGTGGACATTTCTGGGCCAGATGAATATTCTACATGTAGGTCATGACGAACAGTCTTCACATAAGATTGTTTTCGTTTAATTCATTGAAACATTTGCATGGTTCCTTTTCCGATCTGATCTAATTCCCCAACGCTATGCAATATTGGCTGACTTTATCTGTCATTCCTACCTCGATCTATAGCTCAGCTCTCATGGACTATTCTGGAAGCTGCAGTAACTGTTATAAGTATATGTGTGCAATGTTTTTGAACTTTTTTGCTTTTGTATTATCTGGCCGTGTAGTGTCAACAGCTATATCTGTCGGCGCCAAATTTGAGTGCCTCTTTGCTTATGTTATAATTTTACCCCGGGAAAAATTCTTGGGGGGCGATTGCTGTGTACGTGATGTGATAAGGCGCGCATGCGCGCCTGGGCTCGTGGCTGGTTTTGCATGCTTGCTGTGCTGGACTAGGTCCGAGAATGTGAGCTCTCTTTTCCTTGTCTTTCTGTTCCTTGATTATTACAATAACTGTACGAACCTGAGTAATGCTGTGTGTGGGCCCTTAGGGCCAGACATAACACCACTACACTGCGCTCTCAGCCGACTATACCATCCTGCACACAACCACCACTACACTCCGCTCTCAGCCGACTATACCATCCTACACACAACCACCACTACACTGCGCTCTCAGCCGACTATACCATCCTGCACACAACCACCACTACACTGCGCTCTCAGCCGACTATACCATCCTGCACACAACCACCACTACACTGCGCTCTCAGCCGACTATACCATCCTGCACACAACCACCACTACACTGCGCTCTCAGCCGACTATACCATCCTACACACAACCACCACTACACTGCGCTCTCAGCCGACTATACCATCCTGCACACAACCACCACTACACTGCGCTCTCAGCCGACTATACCATCCTACACACAACCACCACTACACTGCGCTCTCAGCTGACTATACCATCCTGCACACAACCACCACTACACTGCGCTCTCAGCCGACTATACCATCCTGCACACAACCACCACTACACTGCGCTCTCAGCCGACTATACCATCCTGCACACAACCACCACTACACTGCGCTCTCAGCCGACTATACCATCCTGCACACAACCACCACTACACTGCGCTCTCAGCCGACTATACCATCCTGCACACAACCACCACTACACTGCGCTCTCAGCCGACTATACCATCCTGCACACAACCACCACTACACTGCGCTCTCAGCCGACTATACCATCCTGCACACAACCACCACTACACTGCGCTCTCAGCCGACTATACCATCCTGCACACAACCACCACTACACTGCGCTCTCAGCCAACTATACCATCCTGCACACAACCACCACTACACTACGCTCTCAGCCGACTATACCATCCTGCACACAACCACCACTACACTGCGCTCTCAGCCGACTATACCATCCTGCACACAACCACCACTACACTCCGCTCTCAGCCGACTATACCATCCTACACACAACCACCACTACACTGCGCTCTCAGCCGACTATACCATCCTGCACACAACCACCACTACACTGCGCTCTCAGCCGACTATACCATCCTGCACACAACCACCACTACACTGCGCTCTCAGCCGACTATAGACCTTATTCGATCACGTGATTTTTCGGGGCGCCTTCGAGGATGCGCACGCGGCACTCGGACGCGTGATCCGGACGAGTGGCAAAAAGGACTCAGCTGAGCATCACGGAAATTTGTTTTGAATGTATTTTCAATATCGGAGTTCGTCTCCTTCCTTTTCTCGAAGTACTTTCATGCAGGTTTGTCAGGTGTTAGGAGCAGTAAGCAGTCTTCTTGTAGTTTTGAGTGTTCTAGCAGTGATGGCGGTTCAAGACTTGTCCGAAATCTATCGCGATTTGGATAAAGCGGGCAAGACGCGGTATGCCGAGAAGCTGGCGTTTGTCAGGTGTTAGGAGCAGTAAGCAGTCTTCTTGTAGTTTTGAGTGTTCTAGCAGTGATGGCGGTTCAAGAGTTGTCCGAAATCTATCGCGATTTGGATAGAGCGGGCAAGACGCGGTATGCCGAGAAGCTGGCGTTCATCGGCTCGGACCAGGACCCCTACGTGACGAGCAGATCTCTCACGCCTGGTGCCACACCTGATTTCCCCAGCGTGGAGTATCCTGATTTGTACCACTATCTCGTGAACGCGCCGAGTCCCTGCACGAAAGAGGAGATGAAGGCGTACAAAAGCTTGGAGGGGTACCAGTTTTTCGTTGCTGGTTGGGTTGGCAATGTCGTCACCTTTCCTGCAACTGCGGATGGCAAGAGAGCATTTGTGATGGCGAAGGTCCGTCACTCCCAGTCCGTGTCCTCTGCTGAGCTGCAGCCTTGGGTGGCAGCTGACATGGATGGGAGTGTGCTTTGTGCCCACTGTACGTGTATGGCTGGCCTGGGTGAGGCATGCTCCCACATTGCCGCCTTGCTATTTACTCTGGTGGCCAGGACGGATTTCGTGAAAGAAAATTCCGCCTGCACCTCCACGCAATGTCAGTGGATTGCCCCATCCCTGCAGCCTGTGCAGTATGCCAGGATATGCGAGATGGATTTCGCCGCGCCGAGCAGCAAGCGCACTAAGCCAGCAGCAGCCAGTGTGGAGGTCACCACACAACTGCCGACATACACTGTGCCAACCACCAGTGAAGTCAACGAGTTCTTTTCTGGTCTTGCCTCCACGCAGAGCAAGCCAGGGATACTATCAATTGTTCCTGGTTTCTGCGAGAGGTATGTCCCAACCCGCCCAGCTGGGTTCCCAGCTTATATCACCGACCTCTATGATGAGGCAATGCTAGACGCATCACTCGATGTGTTGCTGAACCGGTGTGATGATGTTTTGAAGGGCATGGGAGTGACAGCAGCAGAATCGGCTGCTGTTGAAAAGGCAACCCGCGATCAGAGCAAGAGCAAGCTGTGGTTCAGGTTCCGCGCAGGGCGTGTGACAGCTTCAAAGTTCCGTGATGCTGCTCACACACCCCCTGCGAACCCATCATCATCTCTAATTCGTGCAATTTGCTACCCCGATGCATATCAGTTTTCCTCTGCAGCGACCACTTGGGGTTTGGAGCATGAGCAGACTGCCCGAGACTGCTACGTCAAACTGTTTGAGCCTAACCACTGCGACTTCAAAGTTACTGATTCAGGATTCGTCATCTCCACCACTCATCCGTATCTCGGTGCCAGTCCTGATGGAAACATCAATTGTACTTGCTGCGGATATGGCGTCCTTGAGGTGAAATGCCCTTTCAAAGCCGTGAACAAGTCCTTCCATGATCTGGCAAAGGACACCAACTTCTGTTTGAAGGAGGTCGATGGAAAATTCCATTTGCGCCTTGGTCACAAGTATGCATACCAAGTGCAAGCACAGATGTTTGTATGCAAGGCAGCATATTCGGATTTTGTGGTGTGGAGCGTGCGGGAATGTGTAGTCATCCGCGTTCATCCAGATCCAGATTTCCACAAGACAGTCCAAGCCATCACGTCTTTCTACAAGGCTGGCGTGCTGCCAGAGATTGTCGGCAAGTATTTTACAAAATCCTTCAAATCTACTGCCGCCAATTCTGATGGAGCTGTATGCACTTGCAACGAGGATAAGGACGGCGACGTGGTGGAATGCTCACATCCAGACTGCAGAGTTAAGACGTTTCACTTGGTATGTCTTCGCATGAAGCAGAAACCAAAACGCAAGTGGATATGTGCAGCATGCAAGAAGAAGGAATAACTGTGTGTACGGGTGTGTGTGTGTGTGTGTGTGTGTGTGTGTGTGTGTGTGTGTGTGTGTGTGTGTGTGTGTGTGTGTGCAACGCCATGCTAGATTCTGTTGACTCTCGCTCTTTCTTTCCTCTCTTCTCTCTTTTAGTTGTTGTCTCCCGCTTATGATAGCGGCATGGCCCGATAGGGCAGCTGTACATAGCAGTAGTAGTAGTGTATGTGTGTGTGTGTGTGTGTGTGTGTGTGTGCATACATGCATGTATCCTGATGCAATTATGTAACTAGGAGCTATGCCCAACCCACCAAAACTCTCACTTCTCACACAAATGATTGCACCATACATGTACATAGAAATCAACAGCCATGCTCATGCATGGCTGCAGGATCATACATTCCACCATGTCAGAAATTTGAACTTGAGTCAATATGACCACTGGGGCTTGTTATTATTATGTGCAGGCAAGCGAAAAAGATGAAATCATATGATGATTTCAAGTTGTGCTTTTTGAAACATGACGTGTGTGTGTGTATGTGTCTGTGTGTGTGTGTGTGTGTGTGTGTGTGTGTGTGTGTGTGTGTGTGTGTGTGTGTGTAATGGAGTGTGATTGATTGAGATTTACACATTGGTGCTAACTAGACACAGGGACAAAAGCCGTTCTTCGAGGGAGTGGTAAAATACAAGTAACATAATTTGCATTGCACTCCTGTCCAGGTAATCTATGCAGCAACAACATGCCACACGTTCCACAATACGGGACAAAAAAAGTAAAAAACAAGTCAATACTTCAGTACTTCTACTGGAAAGGCACCACTGAGTCGCAGCAGTTGCACAGCGCAGAGCACACCAGGACAATCTTGTCGATGGTGCACACTCCTGTTGAGGCATCACTCATCAGCATGTTCACTGGCAGGGTTGACTGCAGAATAGTGTACTTCTGCCGCAAGTTGCCGATAACACGTTCCACATGGATTCGTAGCCGAGACAGCTTCCTGGCCTTCTCAATGCTGATTCTCGACAGTTGCTTCTTGCCTCTTGTGAACGGAGGTATGACCAGCTCAGCGCAGTGCAGGCCAACGGCATCACTGACCGTGAATCCCCGGTCTGCCATTAGCTGATCACCCGGCAATAGCTTGTCCAACAGCCCGCAATGCTCCGTGATGTACTTATCCGATGTCCGGCCACCCCATCCTTTGGAGATGAAGGAAATAGTGCCTTGCGGGGTGATACCAATAAGAAATTTAACCGTGTTGTGGTGTTTGTAATTAGAGAAGGTTTGAGCCCTGGCCATCAGATCATGTGGCCTTTCGCAAAACACTTCAAAACAATCAATAATGCAAATGCACTTCCCAAAATGTCCGCGAAACTCCAATGGCATCGTGCGGTACAGTTCGGAGCGCTCTGGCCAGATGATCAACGGCTGCAGCCTGCCATAAAGGACGTGGATCCATTTGTGGAAGTACTTTGAGACGGTAGACTGGCTGATGCCGAAGCGATGTGCTAGATCTTGATCGTGCAAGTTGAGGCGCAGCTTCATCAGGACAATAATAAACTGCGCAAAGGACGGAAGTGCCGCTCGGTGGTGGTCGGGGATGTCCTTGCCAGCAAATGCGAACACTTTCTCCAGCACAGCAAAAGATGGGAGGCCAGTTTCATATCTCACCATGTCATCATTGGACTTGAATCCTGATATGATGGAAGACATTGCCGCCTCTGATTTTTGATGTTTCACAGTGGCTTCCAGGTGCTGTACTTTGACGGTGAGAGCAGAAATAGCAGATTTCTGTTCCTGCAACTGACCATTCAGCTGGCATTTGTCCTCTTCCAGCTGTGCCACTCTCGCCTGAAGCAAGGCTAGATCGTCATTTTCTTGTTCAGCACTATTGTCGACATGGCTGCTGGCTTCAGTGAGCTCTGGCTGAGCTGGGGACGCTGGCTCAACAGAGTCTGACGAACATGAATCTCTCGGCGCACTCTCCTCTTCGATTTCCTTGTCAGCATTACAGTCACTTTCTCCAGTCAGCACGGGCTCATGATTGCCATGGCAGGTATCTTCAGGCTGAGCTGTTGGCTTTGAAGCTGCATGCCGTCGACGTCGGGCCTTGTGGCGATCAAATTTTACGTAAGCTTTCTCACCATTTACTCGACCCTCGTCTGAAAAAACAGACGGGACGAAATCAGGGGATAGTGGATCGTCGCTCTTCTTGAACCTTACAAAGTGATCGCAGCACACCCAACTGGAAGCGTTGGGCTGCCAGTTCTTGCGCTTCAGCGCAGCAATCCACTTTGCTCTCCTGAGCTGATTAGTTGGGAACTTATAAAAGCTCTTTCCACCGCCTTTCGCGAAACGGTTAGCGCAACCAACTGCACAGCAACTCTTCACCATACTACTACACTCCCTACCCACGTCTCCCTGACCAACGACAGTGACAGCTACCCAGAACAATTCCAAAGCTCTCCTCCAAACACACTTGCCCACAACTATCAACACGCACTTTCAAAACAAAACACTTCTTGCCACTCGTCCAGTTTTTCGTAGGTTCGTGACTGGGGTCCACGTGACCCGTGACGTGTATCGAATAAGGTCTATACCATCCTGCACACAACCACCACTACACTGCGCTCTCAGCCGACTATACCATCCTACACACAACCACCACTACACTGCGCTCTCAGCCGACTATACCATCCTGCACACAACCACCACTACACTGCGCTCTCAGCCGACTATACCATCCTACACACAACCACCACTACACTGCGCTCTCAGCTGACTATACCATCCTGCACACAACCACCACTACACTGCGCTCTCAGCCGACTATACCATCCTGCACACAACCACCACTACACTGCGCTCTCAGCCGACTATACCATCCTACACACAACCACCACTACACTGCGCTCTCAGCCGACTATACCATCCTGCACACAACCACCACTACACTGCGCTCTCAGCCGACTATACCATCCTGCACACAACCACCACTACACTGCGCTCTCAGCCGACTATACCATCCTGCACACAACCACCACTACTGCGAGGACTGAGAGCGCAGCGTAGTGGTGGAGGTGATTCTGAACATTTTCTTCAATGGCCGAGTGCCTGTCGCACCCTGCAATATTAGATGACACGATGAAATTAAATTCTCCGCAATGTCTGCGTGTTCAGTTCTCACCATTGCACCTCAACTTGACCTGGTATTCCGTGCCGGTGAGGGTGCTCTTTAGCTTAGTGTACGTGGGCGCAGTGCACGGCTGGCTGAGGTTGGCGCAGCTCATCTGGAAATGACGCCGCGCCGTGTAGTGCACACCGGCCAATGTGACCGTGTCACTGCTGCGCGTAATGTAGCGCCGGCTGGTGCGAATGGTCAGCTCGTTCTCGTCCGGCGGCCCGTAGCCCAAGCTGTTACATACGTGCTGGAGAGGAGCAAACACATACATACGCACACACACACACACACATGCACACACACGTACGTGTACACGCACACATACACACACGCAAGTGTACACACACACACACATCACCACCACCACATATGCACACAGACGCACACACGCGTGCGCACACACACAAGTTTCTCGACAATGTCTGCGTGTTCAGCTCTCACCATTGCACCTCAACTTGACCACACAAGTTTCCACACACACAAGTTTCACTCTAAGACCTTGTTTAGCTGGCTCTGGCCCAAATAGTAGACACACAAAGAGAAGAAACAAAGCGCTGCTGCTGTAACTCTGAGTTTCATGCGCTAGCGATCATCAGACAGCACAACAGCACACTCTGTCTAGCTGCCAACTCCTCTCTTTCTCTTTCTCTTTCTCTCTCTCTCTCTCTCTCTCTCTCTCTCTCTCTCTCTCTCTCTCTCTCTCTCTCTCTCTCTCTCTCTCTCTCTCTCTATCTATCTCTCTGTCTCTGTCTCTCTCTCTGTCTCTCTCTGTCTCTGTCTCTGTCTCTCTCTCTCTGTCTCTCTCTGTCTCTCTCTCTCTCTGTCTCTCTGCCCCTCTGTCTGTCTGTCTGTCTGTCTGTCTGTCTGTCTGTCTGTCTGTCTGTCTGTCTGTCTGTCTGTCTGTCTGTCTGTCTGTCTGTCTGTCTCTCTCTCAACACTGTACTCACCAGTGCCAGGTTGAAGTTCCACCCTGCCTGTATGATTGGCAGGTACGCATCAGTCGTGAGTGCCTGTCGCCATACAGGACCGGAGCACACGGCTGGGTATAAGCTGATATCAGTGCCGGCCACCATGGCGTTAGATATCGTGACTGACAATGCTAATGCTGTGCAGCAGGGCAGACGGGGGAATGACAACATGAACAGCAACACACCTCTGTTATGTGACCGCTGTAACAAGAGACAGCACCTGGGTTATGTGGCCACTGTAACAAGAGACAGCACCTGTGTTACGTGACCGCTGTAACAAGAGACAGCACCTGGGTTATGTGACCGCTGTAACAAGAGACAGCACCTGTGATGAGAGACCGCTCATATCATACCCCATACCATACTGTAAAAGCAGAAATTTTCGGCAGTGTTTCATTTTCGGTAACTCTGGTGCCGAAATTTTTACCGAAAATAAAACTACACGTACACTTACCTGGAGAACGGGTTTACCGAAAATTTCCCTCCACCGAACTGCCGGTTTTGGAGAATACCGAAAATTTTACACCAGCGAAAATTTCTGCTTTTACAGTACATCACCATACATGATCAATTGATCATACATGTTAACCTGTGTGGAAGACCACCTGTCTATAAGAACTGATTTTCTGTGTATCAGAGTGGACACCAGACTAACCATACTACTCAGAGATGTCACACACACGCTACGACCAGCACAGCAATGGTCGTACCACTTTTCGTCCGGGATGGTCCGCCCAGAGCACCTGTAGAGCGCCCAACACGTGCCCTGTTGGCCGAAAAACCCAGTTTTCTTCCCCTCCCCCCTGGGGGGGGGGGGGGACCCCCGTTGTACCACACCACTCCCCACTACCATGTGATGTCCCTGCTACTGACTAAAATATCACAAGCCAGGCACATCATGAGGCACAAGCTAGAATACGACAGTTGACAGAAAGAAGGAGAATAACATTCAAACCTACCATGGTAATATAAACTAAACAACACACAGAGACAAGACTGCCAGCTACTCCGCCGCAGTGGCGTTGCTTTTAACCGAACCCCGGCCATCGCTGGAGACCTAGAAGCCGCCGTCCTGCATAGCAAACACAGAGTACGTACGCATATACACATGCACATACAAGTGAGCACACCCACACACACACACACACACACACACACACACCACCCACACACAAGCACATACACACACACAAGATACGCATCAGGCCCGCTGGGCCACGATCCCCTCCATTCCGGTCTGTAGCATTCCTGTGACGGGATTCTGGTGTACGAGTCGTGTAGTGCTAACGGTTGAGCTGTAAGGCACCTACTCCTTCAGCCGTACCCAAATGTGTGCAATGTGCAGCAACAATCACCCTAGTTTCAGACACCAGCCGCGTTCAAAGGATGCGATATGCCAGGTTAGTCGTGGCATGGCATACTGGCCAACCCTCCCGGTTTTCCCGGGAAAATCCCGGGAAATCCACACTACTCCCGGGGTCCCGGGGATTTCAAGCAAACTCCCGGAAAAGTCACAGTTTTGTCTGATACAGGATTTTCCCGAAAACTCCATGGATTCTCCTCGAATGTCCCGGTTTTTTCAAAATATGTACGGTGCCCACTCGTCCTTCGAACTGTGCACGGCACTTTCAAGATCTGAACAGCCTAGGCTGCAAGATCTGCACTGACAGGCGGGCGCTGACTGATCGAACTGCACTGCAGGGTCGAACTGTGCTGTACGACTCTACTACGAGTACGCAGATCTGCAGAGTCGAACGGTTTTTTTGGCGGGAAAAGCTCTTTTTCACTTGTGTTTGTGCCATCCACGGATTTTGAGAGAAATCCAGGGATTCTGCATGTCTTGTCAAGGGATTGAGATTTTGGTGGTTGGTTGGGCTGTTATCGGATCGATCTACCCAACCGATCAATACTGGTTTTGCAAAACTTCCTGGGATGAACCTTTCGATGACAGCAGAGAGATGGTGATCAAGACGCGCGATGTGTTTCAACCACCATCTCTCTCCTAATTGAAGTGCTAGTATATTATGATGCTGCATTGGAGCATTCACATTTGATGACAGCCGAATCCTGTACCCCTTTCAATACAGGCAGTATGTTTGTGTGGTGTGTGTGTGGGGGAGGCCGGGGGGGGGGGGGGGGGGGGGGGGGGCACTCATGCCTTTATCAACGTTTCTTTTGAGTATGTCCAAAATAGGATAAAAGTAATTCATTGGAGGAGAGTTTATAATTATGTATGGCAATTGCTACAAATCATCAATCGCCACACTGTCCTGAAGTGTAGGCAACTGGACTGGGCACAGCTGCTGCTACTGAGATGTGCCACCGTGCTGTGCTCCCATTCGCACTGGAAACGTAGCTGAGGATCATGCTGCTCATATCACAGAGCTCCCAGCAAACTGAACAAACCGTGCAGGGTGCAGTCCACCTGTTGTTGTTTCTTCAGCAGCCTGACTCCTGGCCTAGAGAGTAGAGTGTCCAGTGCTTGTGGTGTGCGGTGTCACAGTCCACACTATGCAGGCATCTATGCAACCACCTAGGCTAGAACAGTTACTGTAGTGTAGGATTACTAGAAAATTAATACAAGTCTCCGAGCCTGTACATGTGTGCCACCCACACAGCCAATACAACAATAATTATGACTACATTCATACATATTCAGTCTGCACACACCTAATAATTATTACATTCTGACACAGCCACTAGAACTACAATGTAATATCGTTGTATTTGTACACTATTTTTACAGTACAGCTACAGTGCAGAATGATTGACAGAATCTGCCATTGTAAACAAAGATAATTTTATTATTTTGGGGTTGCCGGTTCAGCGGGTGGGCATCTCGTCGCCAGAGTGATTCTCAGCGGGATCCTACACTAGTCGTTTCACGCACCAGCACCGGAACATGACCGATTTCCGCTGCTGGCCTGCACTGATAACAATACACTGTGATAAATCGGCAACGCCGCTACGGCGCTAGCTCATCGCAGCTCATCGCAACCAGCATCAGATCGCCAGCGGAAGGCCAGAACTTGAAGTTGCAGAACAGAAGACTGTCACCTCGCTTCCAAAACACGGGGCCGATGAATGATTCTGGATTTGGATCTGAAAACCTCATTCCAAGCACTTGCGCTAAACTTTTATGAAAGCGTTGCTTTCTCTGCTGCTGCTGTGAGTATTCCTCGCACAACTGCAAATCGTCAACAGCGTAGATAGATCGACGCGATCTCTTCGCTCGACACAGCGGATGCCATCGATACGAAACCGGCACCTCTTTCAAGAAGCACGAGCAGACTATTACAGTATTACGCAAGACATGACAAATATCGCTGGGGTATTTTCAATACTACTATACTACATAGAACTCTCCTAGTCGCTGCATGCAGCTGGCAAACATCGATCGTCCGTGTCGGTGGTCTAAGAATCTCTCCAAGTTCACTGTAACAATGAGTGAGTGCACAGCGATGTCTACTACTACTACTAGTAATCAACTCAATCATTGTGAAGCAACTCTCAAGCTCTCGCGCGGCTACATCATGCAGATCGAGCCAAGTAAGCCGAGTAACCCCGCAGCGGAGGTATTTTTACTCGACATTTCCCAACTGTTCACCGGTGCTTTGTTTCACAAGAGCTCGCATTCAGACATGCTAAACAAGATCTTCTTGCCATAAGCCTACACGTACACCTAGCCCAGCGTGGTGTAGAGAACAACCAGTCCGCGCAACAGAAAGCAACACAATGCCTTACTTCACGAAACTGAACCGACCCGTGTACGCGAAGTTACAAGTAAAGTGGAACGACACGCCAATTTCGAATTTCGATCTGGGGCAACCCAGCAGCTAACTGCACGCCTGAACTACTTACTTTAGCTGAAGACACCTCCGCGCCTGCCGATTCCATCACTCAGGCCACACTAATACGGTACTCGTAGGCTCAACCAGAGACACACTGGCAATGAAATAAACACTTAGGGCCGCACACAACACTGCCAATCTGTCCCATAACCTTGACAAACGTCGTATGAATGAACATACTTATCGGGTAATTATGACTATTATTTTAGGCGACCTCCGCGCTCAGTTTCGCTCCACTCGCACTCACCTTTTTTCAAATTTCTCACCCTGCCACTCTGCCGCCAGCTAGAACAGCCACGCTTTGATCCCAGCTTGCTGCTCCTGCACTGTACTGTGGCCCTAGGCTGAGGTTCTACTCGTCTTGACGAATTCCAGCCTTTCTATCTCACACCTATCCGTCCAGATCACCACGTGCTCGCGCCCGACTCAGAGAAAATCAGCGCTGACTTCAGCAGCTAATTATTTGCTCCACGTGTATTCTTACTCATAGGAAATCTCTTCCTCTCTCCACACGGCTTCTCTTCTACTATGTTGGGTGTGACAACAGCAACAGAATATCTCCACTTGAAATTGCTACAAAACTCAAAAGGCAACGAGCACGATGATGAAAAACTACAATGCAGTTATCCCTAGCTGGTCTGCGCCTACAGAGTAGAGAGATTGCAACTCTTTCAATGAACTGACAACACAAACTGGAAAAGCGACAGCTCAGAAGAACCGCGCTGACATGTACCTCTAGAAACATGCAAACACCCACGTAACGACGTCATTCGGAGGCACGCCGTACATAATGCACAATGCTCCACGCGCGCTGAGCTGAGCATATCGTATGGCGCGCGCTGGCAAAGACCACATAAAAAGCCATTTCGGCGCGTTTCCATACGTGTACATATGTACGCATGACGCGCGCATCACGACATCGCATCGCAGAATGCAAATCGCACGTGCACATTCGTACATACCCTGTACGACTCTTGCATGCATGTGTAGACCTACGTGTACGAGTACTCGACTCGGAGTACATGTGTGTCATGTAGACCCACTTCGGCACTTGCCTTTCCTGGAGTTTCCCTGCATGTGTACCAGTGTACATCATGTACATGTAGATATGTACGACTACACCGTACCGTGCGAAGATTTTGTGTCGTGTTCGAACAACAGTTTTATTTGGGCATTGCTGTGTTTCACACGAGGCGTTTCACCATGTACCAGGGGGGTTATCATGGTTATGTACTCTTCCCGTATGTCACATGACTGTCGCCTTGGAGTCGACCAATGACAGATCAAATTACGCGGGCTGGAAAGCGCGATCCTGCCTGATGAATGGTGATGGAACTAGTTCCACTGCCCGTCGTCAAGTGACGACGGGCAGTGGACGGAATCCACTGCCCGTCGTCACTTGACGACGGGCAGTGGACAGAATCCACTGCCCGTCGTCACTTGACGACGGGCAGTGGACAGAATCCACTCATGAGTCTACCATTTCAATGACAAGCTTCTGTGGTCTGAAAGTACATGCAAAAGTCGTGTACTGAGTCTGTAGTCCGTGTCCGGTTGTCGAAGTCACTCTCACACAGCTCACACTGACACAGCCTCATACAGCCATACAGGACTCGTGTCAAGTCACAGAATGGTTCATGTAAACTCAAACGTCAAAGATTGTGAGTGATCTCCTTGGCTTGGGTGCATACGGGAAACACGTTCCAGTCACTCATACTCGGTCAGCACCGCTGCTCATCCAGCCCTTGCCGCTATCGCGGCGCGGGCAGGATTCCGCGGTACTGCCCTCATACTCGTGCAGGAACCTGTACTTGCCGTCTTGGTTTCACTAGTCTTTCAACCCGAGTCCAGTTTCGGGTAATCATCTAGTTTAGGGTCCCAAATTATTTCGCACTTTCCCAGTGTTCTGTGTACTTTCTGTGTACTTGAGAGCGTGGTTGAGTGTGTTTCGAAGTTTTGTGTCCTTTATAGAGTTGGTTCCTTTGACTTTGTGGTAATTGTAATGCGTAGCCGAGTGGTATAAGGTGCAGTGCGTGACTGCGTGTGCGTGTTCATGTGACCACTTTGTTGATCCGGATGATCGAAGCATCCATACCAAGAGTACATGGTTTTCATGTACTCTTGTCCATACCAACAATGTCGAAAATATGTGGATGCGTGCGAAGCGCCAGCTCAAACGCAACTTCGGCACGTCTCGCGAGTTGTTTCCAACCTACCTCTGCGACTTCGTGTGGAGGCAAAGAGTTCGAGAGGAACGAAACACCTTCGGCTCCCTGCTCCGCAGCATTCATCAGCAGTACAGTACAACACAGGCCCTGTCTGATCGGTTCTGATGAAAAAAATCCATATCAACAGCTACTGTGTTTTTGATCTTGATTTGCAAATTTCTGGGGTTGACACGCTCTCACGTACACAGAAAGTACACAGAACACTGGGAAAGTGCGAAATAATTTGGGACCCTAAACTACATGTAGATGATTAGATTACCCAGTTTCGACCCACCATAATCAGTAGCAACCATGTACAGTACAAGCTGTGAGGGTGACTGTAAGTGTAATGTGCGCGGTCTAAGGCAAGGAGGCAGCTACCCACAGTCAGTCAACGAACGTTTCAGAACTTACTCCGGCACGGCCTGGAGGTTATCTTATATCAAATATTCCTAAGTGAACAGAACTCTATCTTGCTCTCTCTCTCTCTGACATGAGCTAATCTGATGGTGGCAGAAAAGATAGCAGCTTTTATACTTTATAGGCAAGCAAAGTATGTATAGCAAAGCAGGCGAAGGTAGGGAACTAAGGTTGGTAATCCATTGCAGTGATTACGAAATCATCCTCCTACTAGTCCTAGTACAAGTAACAGTGGAGAAGTAAACCTAGAGCATCATTGCTATACAGATAGATGAAGTGAGCATTGCGTAACATTAACATAATAGACACCGGCCTTAGCAAAAAAACGTTATGTTGTAACGATATTATCGTAATATAAGGGGGAAAATACCGTGATTTTGGTTCGACCTTTAGCAAGATGCACGCTATTTTTAGTACGCTGTTGCCACGAGAGTAGCTTTGATTTCGCGCGGTACGAGTACAACCATTTTTGTCACCATATATGTGTTGATTCTTCACAAAATGTGTTATTTTGCCCGTACAAGAGGCTCAGTTTTCCGTGTGAAAAAAAAAATTTGTCACCATATACGCGATACAAGGTGAAATGCGTACGGACTATGCTATATTTGGCCAAAACACGTACCGTTGGTCACAACCAGGGAGTAGTACAATAGTAGTAGTAGTAGTAGTAGTAGTAGTAGTAGTAGTAGTAGTAGTAGTAGTAGTAGTAGTAGTAGTAGTAGTAGTAGTAGTAGTAGTAGTAGTAGTAGTAGTAGTAGTAGTAGTAGTAGTAGTAGTAGTAGTAGTAGTAGTAGTAGTAGTAGTAGTAGTAGTAGTAGTAGTAGTAGTAGTAGTAGTAGTAGTAGTAGTAGTAGTAGTAGTAGTAGTAGTAGTAGTAGTAGTAGTAGTAGTAGTAGTAGTAGTAGTAGTAGTAGTAGTAGTAGTAGTAGTAGTAGTAGTAGTAGTAGTAGTAGTAGTAGTAGTAGTAGTAGTAGTAGTAGTAGTAGTAGTAGTAGTAGTAGTAGTAGTAGTAGTAGTAGTAGTAGTAGTAGTAGTAGTAGTAGTAGTAGTAGTAGTAGTAGTAGTAGTAGTAGTAGTAGTAGTAGTAGTAGTAGTAGTAGTAGTAGTAGTAGTAGTAGTAGTAGTAGTAGTAGTAGTAGTAGTAGTAGTAGTAGTAGTAGTAGTAGTAGTAGTAGTAGTAGTAGTAGTAGTAGTAGTAGTAGTAGTAGTAGTAGTAGTAGTAGTAGTAGTAGTAGTAGTAGTAGTAGTAGTAGTAGTAGTAGTAGTAGTAGTAGTAGTAGTAGTAGTAGTAGTAGTAGTAGTAGTAGTAGTAGTAGTAGTAGTAGTAGTAGTAGTAGTAGTAGTAGTAGTAGTAGTAGTAGTAGTAGTAGTAGTAGTAGTAGTAGTAGTAGTAGTAGTAGTAGTAGTAGTAGTAGTAGTAGTAGTAGTAGTAGTAGTAGTAGTAGTAGTAGTAGTAGTAGTAGTAGTAGTAGTAGTAGTAGTAGTAGTAGTAGTAGTAGTAGTAGTAGTAGTAGTAGTAGTAGTAGTAGTAGTAGTAGTAGTAGTAGTAGTAGTAGTAGTAGTAGTAGTAGTAGTAGTAGTAGTAGTAGTAGTAGTAGTAGTAGTAGTAGTAGTAGTAGTAGTAGTAGTAGTAGTAGTAGTAGTAGTAGTAGTAGTAGTAGTAGTAGTAGTAGTAGTAGTAGTAGTAGTAGTAGTAGTAGTAGTAGTAGTAGTAGTAGTAGTAGTAGTAGTAGTAGTAGTAGTAGTAGTAGTAGTAGTAGTAGTAGTAGTAGTAGTAGTAGTAGTAGTAGTAGTAGTAGTAGTAGTAGTAGTAGTAGTAGTAGTAGTAGTAGTAGTAGTAGTAGTAGTAGTAGTAGTAGTAGTAGTAGTAGTAGTAGTAGTAGTAGTAGTAGTAGTAGTAGTAGTAGTAGTAGTAGTAGTAGTAGTAGTAGTAGTAGTAGTAGTAGTAGTAGTAGTAGTAGTAGTAGTAGTAGTAGTAGTAGTAGTAGTAGTAGTAGTAGTAGTAGTAGTAGTAGTAGTAGTAGTAGTAGTAGTAGTAGTAGTAGTAGTAGTAGTAGTAGTAGTAGTAGTAGTAGTAGTAGTAGTAGTAGTAGTAGTAGTAGTAGTAGTAGTAGTAGTAGTAGTAGTAGTAGTAGTAGTAGTAGTAGTAGTAGTAGTAGTAGTAGTAGTAGTAGTAGTAGTAGTAGTAGTAGTAGTAGTAGTAGTAGTAGTAGTAGTAGTAGTAGTAGTAGTAGTAGTAGTAGTAGTAGTAGTAGTAGTAGTAGTAGTAGTAGTAGTAGTAGTAGTAGTAGTAGTAGTAGTAGTAGTAGTAGTAGTAGTAGTAGTAGTAGTAGTAGTAGTAGTAGTAGTAGTAGTAGTAGTAGTAGTAGTAGTAGTAGTAGTAGTAGTAGTAGTAGTAGTAGTAGTAGTAGTAGTAGTAGTAGTAGTAGTAGTAGTAGTAGTAGTAGTAGTAGTAGTAGTAGTAGTAGTAGTAGTAGTAGTAGTAGTAGTAGTAGTAGTAGTAGTAGTAGTAGTAGTAGTAGTAGTAGTAGTAGTAGTAGTAGTAGTAGTAGTAGTAGTAGTAGTAGTAGTAGTAGTAGTAGTAGTAGTAGTAGTAGTAGTAGTAGTAGTAGTAGTAGTAGTAGTAGTAGTAGTAGTAGTAGTAGTAGTAGTAGTAGTAGTAGTAGTAGTAGTAGTAGTAGTAGTAGTAGTAGTAGTAGTAGTAGTAGTAGTAGTAGTAGTAGTAGTAGTAGTAGTAGTAGTAGTAGTAGTAGTAGTAGTAGTAGTAGTAGTAGTAGTAGTAGTAGTAGTAGTAGTAGTAGTAGTAGTAGTAGTAGTAGTAGTAGTAGTAGTAGTAGTAGTAGTAGTAGTAGTAGTAGTAGTAGTAGTAGTAGTAGTAGTAGTAGTAGTAGTAGTAGTAGTAGTAGTAGTAGTAGTAGTAGTAGTAGTAGTAGTAGTAGTAGTAGTAGTAGTAGTAGTAGTAGTAGTAGTAGTAGTAGTAGTAGTAGTAGTAGTAGTAGTAGTAGTAGTAGTAGTAGTAGTAGTAGTAGTAGTAGTAGTAGTAGTAGTAGTAGTAGTAGTAGTAGTAGTAGTAGTAGT